AACTAAAGGTGACATAGATACTTTATTATGGTATAATATTTAAATATATGCCTGAGAAACACATAATATTGGCCCTTTAAGGTTGCTCCGAATGCTAGTATGGTTTATGTAAACTTGTCTTTTGAATGCTTGGCCCTTGGAAAAGATTTCCTTCACAGTTTGCAGCACAGACTCAAAACAGTAGAAACCTGCAGACAGCTGAGAAGACCTTCAGGGTTGAGTAATGACTCTCTGGGGCTGCGTCACTTCGACACATTCGTTCCACACTCATTCCAATAACTGTCAACGTTCGTAAAAACACTGATTTGGACCGTTAAGGGCTTGAGGTTGAGATCTTGACAGAGGCAAGATATTTTAGGAAACAACAGATAAGAAAGGCTTTATGTCTGACATCCAAATGTATGTTAAATATGAAACTAAGCAGTAAACCAGAGTAAGAAAGATGAAAGTGATAATAGTCTGTGGTGACACGTAGCTACTGCACATATCCTCACAGAGCAACGACAGGGTGTGTTTAAACTGCAGATACTGTGGAAAATTTAAAACTTTTAAATTAGATATAGACAAATTAGAGAATGTGAAACGTTTTGAGAGGCATATAAAATGTAAAAAGGATGCCTTGTTAGAGATTAAATTTAAGTTTATGATAAAATGCTTGGTTGAATGTAGATACAAATTTAAACTCTACATAAAGGGAGTTCTCTCATTTCTTATTATACTGTGTTCCTAATAAACTTCAACAAGGAGCTGTTTGATTTATCCAAACGTCTATTAAAAATAATGCTAAGGAAGGAGGAGCATAAAAAGATYCACTTTTGAAATGAGTACTGAATGCAATTAATGGACCACAGAAACAAACATGGGCACAGCTTTGCTCCTTTCTCATTGTTTTCATTATAAAATACTAATTTATACACATAGGGGAAGAAAATAATAGCTATGTTATAGTAGTTTCTCTAGTTAGCCAATGTTTGCTCTGCTTATAATAAATCAAAAGCTGTTTCTTTTTCACACTGTAACTGTAAGCCCAGTTGTTTGATGTGGTCTATAGTTTAAAGCATAACTGTCAAACTCAAGGTCCGTGGGCCATATCTGGCTAATGATAACACTTTATTTGGCCTCTAAAATATTTTAAATGTAGCTCTTAGATTTTAAATCTGGCCCATCAACATGCGGCATCTTATTTTGCTTAGAAAAAKAAGACAAAACACCAGAGCATACTTAGTGCAGACTTCTTATGGCGGTTAGCTAACTTTGGTTGCTGTTAAGCTATTTAGTTTCTTGTGAGTCTATATAATCTGGCAGTGAGATGAAACCTAGGGCCGGCCCTGGATTACATATATACTTACCTAAGGCCTCGTGCATCTGACCCTGGTGGGAATGTTTGAAGACGAAGAAGTGATACCGAGGCGTGTCTGTAGGAATCCTGAAGGGAAGCTCGTGAGTTTCTGTCGGTTTGGTGTGAACCAGTTCAATGGTCTCTTTATCAACATCCAGCCTCTGCAACACAACACACAGGACTGAGCTGGCAAACCCTGCACAGCTTATTTTACTGCTTCATACTGTCATAAACAGACTCGTGCAGCTCGTCTGCACACACAGTGTCATGCTGTCTTCTCACACAATGTGTGAAAAGCAGTGCAGATTATCAGCCAGGGCTCACCAGCTGGATGTAATTTATGCGTTTCTGCTTGAGCTGCTGCAGAGCTCGTTTGGCATCTTCTTGTAAAGGGAATGCAAGACCCTGAAGAGTCTGTGCCCTCTTGTCCAGGCCAAACTCCATTGTGACCTGATCATGAAAAAGCCTTTAAAGTTCTCTCTTTATGCATCGTGCAACTCAATTTATGAGCGGACGGTGGACTTAACAAACCTTCGCTCGCGCTGTTGGCGTCCCAATTCGTCTCCGTTCATCCTGTAGAGAGAAAAAGACGAGTTTATTTATTTCATTTTAGCACAAACGCTCTAAAATACTRGTGTATGAAAAAAGTAGAACATACCCAAACAACTTTTTCCTGTAGAGGGAAAAAACAACAGCATGAAAACACCAATTACAAATACTTCAGAACATATTCAGACAGAATGTGTTGTTTCCAAGCACCTCTGTGACTTTAATTCGTTGTAGCTCCTGCTCGGCTGATGTGAGCGGCGCTGGAGACGAACCGGAGGATCTGTGGCGCAGGTATCCCTGAAAGCACAGGTCGTCCTGCCAAGAAAGACCACAGCTGGCTGCTCAATGACAAAACAGTACCAATCAGGGATTACAGCCAGGAGTTTGGACAAACCTCGACCGTGCCGAACATTTCATCTTTGATGTGACCTCCTCCAAACTCTTTCTTCAGCGTGGCACGAGTCGCAGCGTACATCATCTTCTGCCTCACCTACACAAGACAAGCACAGAGGAATCATCTTACCTGCAGCTCTGAACACGTCAGGGACTCTTTGCACCGTATTGGTATACGTAGATCTTTACACACAATATCAGAACTTAATTTAGGTGTTTAGAATGGTTGTTTTCATATTTATGAGCGAACGCTGCTTAATTATTTTTACAAGATCAGTTTTTTTTTATCCAATATCACAGAATCGTATTGATCCTAAAATATAATAATATATTTTTTAATCTATTGACAGAAGTTCCTAATTTCTAAAATGATCTATTATTCTTTGTCAAACTTCTAAAGAACTAGAGCAAAATTTATTCATATTTCAGATTTTACTAAGTACTTTCTACACAGCAGTTATTTGTAACTAGTTCATATTTTGATGGATAAAACCTTGTATCGATATTTAAAGATGACTTTATCTGTAGCATAAATCGGGGTATGTGACACAACTAAAAAAAATTAAATATCTGATATAATCTAGCTTTTATGGACGCCTGAACATTTTTTAGTGCAATGATTCATCAATAATTAGACATAATTAGTTAACATAACAGCAGGGAAATTAGCGCATTAAAAAAATCAGATTCATAATTCTGTTTAAGAATGTCACAGAAAATTAATGAGCTCAAGAAATTGTGTTTGCTTCTGAAAAAACACAAAACATTCCCTTTAAATGTAAAATTGTAAGTAATGGGCTAAAGAGGTCTAATGGTGAAAACGCCACAGTTTATATGGTCTTTATGTACCATGGAGGACTCTGCAAATTCTAAGTAGAAATGTTGAATTTGTTTTTAGCTTTTACATTTAAGACACGGTAAACTGCAGCTAACAGCATCTCCAGACGTACTGGTGAGTGGTCAGGTGACCAAGAGATGAATATCCACTCGTATCCCTGTGCATTCCGGGAGTCCAGGCGGTAGAGGATGTAGCAAGGCTCCTGAGGCGTGAGGAGAGGAAGCAGAAACCGATCGTAATCCTTGTCCCAGGTCTGCACCGGCTCCTTGTATAAATCTAGCACCAACTCCTCTGCGAAAAAACAAGAAGGCACAAACACGGTTAAACACAGGCCCGACTTCAGAGAGGCACTTCTGAAGGCGAGACATGTCGTCACAGTTTACCATTTCTGATCACAATCTTCAAGATTCTGATGGAACCTCCTCTCGCTCGGGCGAGGAACTCTTTCAGCTCAAATGTAGCTGCAGAAACCAGATATAAGGCAGACAAAGTCAAAAACAGCGAGACAATTTGGTAAGTAAGAACCTGTGACTCCACCATGGGTGAAAATTTGATCCACAGCCAAGTACTCACACAATCACTTAAACTGACTCACAGAATGAACTCAAAAAACAAAGCCAGCATTTACCAGGCTTTAGTTTGAGATGATGCTACTTAAATGGTTTATTTCCAACGTACTTTTATCACAGGAAACTATTGATTTGTTGTACTTCGTCCTTTTGTCTCACCATGGTTACTGAACCCAGAGGTCTCATAAATGATGTAAGATCAGGTGAGAAAAGAGGTGCGCTTCCGTCAACCGGACCTCTGACACGCCACTTACTAAATGCTATAGCACACACACACACACACACACACACACACACACACACACACACACAC